ACACCTACTGTGATGTATATTCCCCATGAGAATAGGTTATGGGCTGAAGACAACTTGAGAAAGTCCTAGCACATTTTATTATTCTGTAGATTATTCTCTACTAGTTTTTTGACCACTAAAATGTCTTCCTTTGTATTTATCTGACAACAAAAAATATTATTTCAATAATAAATATCTTTGTTATCTTAACTGTCCTTGAAAGGAAGAGTGTAGTATAGATAGACAGAAAGTATTAGAGAGAGAAGAAAGGAGGAATGGAGAAAGGGAAGATTCCCCCTTTGCTGAGTAGAGGACTGGGAAGAGACAGGAAGACTTTTAAAAAAAAATTACCAAGGCTTAAATACGATTAATTATTATAACTACTCTGCTAAGCCAGGAGATGAGGAAACTGTCAGTGATGTTCAGAAGTCACTTGGGGAGAACTAGGGAAAATGTGTATGTACAGTCCAGAGCTGCTGACATTTAATTAGTCTCTGCACTGAGAAGTCAGAAGTGCAGAACGAGGAGCCTTCGGGATCTATTATTAAGCAGTGGCACCTCAGCAGCCCAAATGCTGAAAATTAGCTCTGGAAGAGACAAAAAGAGTTGATTGATATGGACTTTCTTTAGGCAGTCACTTGCCTTTTCAATAAGGGAAAAGCAAGTCGATGATGTAAACAGGATGAGCACTTCCGCAGTCAGTCTGTGGGCCTAAAAAGAGAATTAACTCTCTGATGCATCTATGTTTTATAAGGAAGAAAGAGGGAAAATGGAAAGTGTGACCTAGAGATGACATGTCAAGGTGAGTGTCTTCTGCTTTGTCTTCAAAAGATGTCTAACTTGGTAGTCATAACTCCAGATTTCAGCACATTTCTGGCTTTCCCAAGAGATTAGCACTACTGTAAATCCAGTCACTACACTACTGTGTTCAAATCTTGTCTAAACCATATGGCGTGGGTGGACTAAGCCACTGTACCACTCCCCTTCTTCAACAGGACAGAGAAAAAAACTCAACAAAAAGCTCAAGAGTCAAAGTAAGGACAGGGAGATCACTGACCAATTAGTGCCATGGCCAAAACAGACTCTGCTGGGTGGAATCAATAGAACTTATTACCAATTAAACAGAGTAGAATGAGAACTAAATCTAAAACCACCTTCCTCCAGGGCACAACCACCTGCTCTGGCATGGGGCTCTCCAAGGCTGCAGTGGGATAACCTGTGTCTTTACCACAGGCTGAAGGGAAATCTGCTCTGACACCTGGAGCAACTCCTCTCTTCGTACTTCACTGACATTGGTGCTTGGATAGTTGTTTATTTCTCATTTTCTCACTCTTCTGTCTCACAGGTGCTGACAGTGGTTTTTACCCTTTCTTAAATATGTTATCAAAGTGGTTCTACAGTTGTTGCTGTTGGGCTCAGCTTTGGCCAGCAGTGGGTCCACCTTGGAAACAGTTGGAGTTGTTTCTATATAATGTGGTGGAAGGTTCTTGTTTCTCTGGAAAGAAGCCTCCCCTCATCCCATCTCTCTCTGGTACCAAAACCTTGCCACATAAACGAAATAGACCATGCCACTAAACCATCTACTTCATAACATGACACTAGTGAGAACAAAATTAATTTTGGGATCTAGGCTGCTTCACAGATTTGTACAATTTATGTCAAACCTATGAAACTGAATAAACTGTGGAGTTAGTAAGTGCCTCAGACACAAGAAACTACTACTTTGTGGGGGTTTACATCTAGACCTCAGGAAAATTGCAATAGAAATGATTTAGAGTTCCTACCCCTTACAAGCTTCTGTTCAAATGTAATATTCTGGAAAGTATTCTGGAAAAATAATCTATCTGCAGCTGTCAGAGAAAAAAGCTCTTTTAGGTTTACTCACAATAGCTAAAGCTTGAATAAGAAAGTCTTGGTTATTTGCAGTCTTACAGTAAATTGAATAATGAGATTTGGTTTCCTAGAAAAGATACTAAACAGAAAACACTTGCCCATGAGATGTGTTTTAAGACATTAAGCCTAGAGACTTCTCAGATCAAGAAAAACACAGAAATGTACATGAAAAATAGAAGGATCCAAACTCAGATCTGCAGAAATGAAAACAGAACAAAACAAAAGAAAAAAACAGGACAGAGCAACATTAACTGTTTCAGAGAAGTTTATGACATAAAAAGGAACTAACCAACATCCCTTTAATGTTCCCATGTCCTGCCTCTCAGCGAAGCTTTGTCAGCCTTGGAAGATGAGATACATTAATTGTCCTAGCCTAGATTTAGCCAGTTGCATTGAATCAGAGAAGCTTACAAACAAAAATATAACTGGTATATTTTGAATTAAGATATTCAACAGTTAATAATTTGAACATGCAGTAGGCAAGGTCCAAATAAAAATATGTAAAAAGTGAGCAGAGAGGTCTGCAGGTTTTTTTTTTTCATCTAATGAAAAGAGTAGGATCCATTCTCATGCCCAGGGGCAGTGACTGCAAAATTTCCCAAATCTGGAAATGTCTATAGTTCAGTTGAAGTTACATTTAACAAACACATTCAAACAATCTGGAATGGAATCTACAAGGTTGCAAAGGGAAGAAAACTTGACCCAGTGAAAAGCATTGTAACACTGTATGAGCTAATATTTCTCCTCTTCCTTCAATCCCTTATGGCTTGATATAAAGTCCCATATAAACCAGCAGTCACATGGCCCTTGTTTGGAATTAGGTTTACTCTCACAATAGGTTCTTTTTAGCTCTGAATTTTTATTTTTTATGTTAAACTAAGAGAAATATCCTTTGCTCATTATCATACATCATGGATAGCATAGGTAAAAAGGCCATCACATTCTATTAAATTAAAATGCTCAGCTCAAGAACAGATGCCATGACTTATGGAGGTTTCTGAAGCTAAGCAAATGCACATCTGACCACATGGGCCATGCAGCATTTTATTTATGATGGTTTGGTGTGCGGCATTCTGATGACTGCAGGGCAGCAGTGTGCTAAAACCAGTTCTTGAGAGAGCCCTTTCATTTTGGTATGTCGTAGGTCACCTGCCAAGATAATAATTATTGTATGGGGTCTGACTGGGATGGAGTTAGCTCTCCCCATGGCAGCCCTCACAGCCTGTGCTGTGCGTCAGTAGCTACAAAGGTGTCAGTGTCACACCAGTGTTTTGGCTACTGCTGGGCAGAGCTGGCACAGCATCAGCGTTGTCTCTCCAACATTCCACTCCCCTTCAGTAGGATTGGGGTGTGCAGATCTTGGGAGGAGACATAGTTGAGACAGCTGACTCGAACTGACCAAAGGGATGTTCCATTCCACATGACATCTGCTGAGCAATGAAAGCTAAGAAAAAGGAGGAGAAGGGGGAGCATTCACTATTATGACATTTGTCTTCCAGAGAAACTACTACATTACTGAAGCCCCACTTCCTAGGAAGTGGCTGGACATCACCTGCTGATGGGAAGGAGAGAATAAATCTTTCAGTTTCCTTTGCTTCTTCACGTGGTTCTTGGGTTTGCTTCATTAAACTGACTTTACCCACAAAGTTCCTTGATCCTACCCTGTCCAGTTAAGGAGGGAAGGGATGGAGTGGCTTGGTGGGCACCTGACTTCCAATCAAGGTCAACTCACCACAATTATATTGTCACAAAAAAACCCCAAACCAAACCAGACCAAACCAACAACAACAACAAAAAAAAACAAAACACAAAACAAAACAAAAAAAACCACAACAAAACAAAAAACCAAGCAAACAAAAAACCACACCTCATTAAAAAAAACCCACAACCAAACCAAAAAAAAAGACGATTAGTCAACAGAGATGAGTAGAAAATAGTGTCCAGCTAAGGAAGAAATTTGGGAAAGCAATAAGGTTTTTCCTAATCACAACAGAACAAGATTTTTCCAGGGAGACTAAAAGCAAAAATGAGAGTGCAGTTAGCCTTTCCATCTCTCTTCTTACAATAGAGATCTGTCCAGAGGATAATGAAAAGTAGGCACCACTCTCAAAAGAAATCTCTTTTGTGTGATGTACAGAGATGTACACAGATTAATCTACAAAATAAATATTTGAATCAGCTATTTAAACATCTATGATGTGACTGCCTACCAGAGAGACAGAGGTTGAGGTCAGTTTGTTTGCCAAAAGCATACACTGACCCAATGTTTCGGATAGCAGCCTCAGGTCAAACATTCTCTCAGCCCTGGTAGTTCTTCTGCACCAGCCGCTCTAGGCTTGGATGTTTTAAATATTTATAAAAAACAGCTTTGACAAGAAAGCTTGAGGGAAGCTGAGGGCAGCATGTTAATCAGAAACCTTGAATCATGGTTTCCTAACAGGTTAATTATTGCAATATTCTGGGCTGAGTTTCTAGATCTGAGGAAATGTTTCTGACAAAAAAGAAAAAAAGAACAAAACAAAACATACCCACAACAAAACACTCCACAGCAAGTGCTTAAAAAAAAAAAAAGAAGAAAAAAAAAGGAACAAAGCAACAAAAAACCCCCAATTAATCATTATTTTTCAAACAAACAACTTTCTACTAAAAATTGCACAATGAGCTCTCTCTCAAAGGCACACACTAACTGTGGGACCTGCCATGGGTAAGGCAATGTGTACAACACCCCATCACCAACACACACAATACTCAATACTCAGGACACAAAACCTTCCTTTACAACATCCTTAATAATGACTCAAGTCCTCTGGCTGTCATATACAAAACCTGAAAGCCAGGGCCTCTTCCTGAATAATTAATTTCACCTTCAAGCAGACACCTGATCAGGTGAATCCTGTCTTAAAAGTGCCATTGGCAATCGGGGTATATATCCACACATCTTGAACTTTCTGAACACCAAGGGACTGTATATCCAAGTGCCAGCTAGTTCATGCAGAAATGTTTGAGGGTTTCTTCTTCCAACAAAATCCCTCTACTAGAAATACACAACCATGACAAGTTCTCCACAGGTAATAGGGACACTCGGAGTGATCCAATGGAAGTAAGACATCATTTTTCATCCTCCTTACCTCTGAAGAAGTGGGTTTGCAGTAGCCAGCTCCAAACACTAGATTTTCTAAAGACATACTGGACTGGTCTTGTCCCGCCTCCAGGTTGCCTTTACCAAGCCAAGAACCTTTCCCTGGACGAGTGAAACTATAAGAAGAAAAATTGAGAAGAAAAACTAATTAAAGGAATATTGTTAGAGAAGAGTCATTGTTGTCATTGTATTATTTCCTTCCTTAGAAAATATTGTACTTTTGGTGGTGCTGGGTTTTGCTTTTATTAATTTCAAATTGACACTGTAAATTCATGTTTCTCTTAAAAATGATCATTGTTCAGTGTGTTGGACATCACTAGCTCAAGTTTGTTTCCTAGACATTCAGATGAGTGGTTTGAGTGTTATCTCTAACTCATTCCTTTCTCTGCTCTCATACAGATCTTTTTCCAGCATAACATCTCACCAACACAACCTTTCCATCTATCCACACAGATAAATACTCTTATCCAACTTCTCATCAGCTTTCACCTTGATGGATGCAACAACTTCCTCTCTTGCTTTAACCTTCCTCTTTGAGTTGTGCATGACCTCTCTTATCTACAAATATCTTCTATAGCTCATCCCAAACTTCTTATAGATTGGAAGTGTAGTTCCCACTTCTCACTTTCCCATGACATTAGCTTCCAGCACCAAATGACAAGACTACAGCCCAAAAGCTACATTTGTTTTTGCTGGATGCAGTCCATTCATCTGGGAAATGTTCTCCCATATCCTTGGTGCAACATGAATTCACTGTTCTCCAAATTCTTCCTCAAAATCCTGACAGAATGTAAGTTGTTTTGGTGTTTTGGTGTTGTGGACATTACCTCTCAGTGCTGACTATTATGGCCAGTGTTCCCTTCTGGCTGTATGTCTCCTATCTTCGACCATTGAACCCATTGAGAGTGGAATATCTTGACTGGAGTTTACTCAGCCTCAAGCCCACTAGAGTCCTGATGCACAGTCAGGGCTCATGCTCTGGGTTAATCTGAGTAAAATACACCTCCCAGTTAATGATGTAGGTTGCCTTTATATTCACTGGAGAGGAATTGGCATTTCCAGGGTATGAGTCACCTCCTTCTAAAGCAGTGATATCAAATAGATCAGGGGACTTGTACCCTCAAAGTACTTATTTCTTATTGTGGACTATAAAGAGAGGCCTCATCAGCAACTGGATTTAAATGAGATAACCCCACAGTTTGTCCCTCGGAGAGCATGTGCTGTACATAAACTGTATCAAGATTTCAAGAGGGAAATCAGGCTACTTGGGGTGAATACAAGGAGTCAAATTACTGAGTCCAATAGTGATGCAAGCAACCAGAAGTGTTCTTTAAAAACATGTAGGTAAACGTGGAACTAAAATAATGAAGTGCAGAGAAAGAAGGAAAACACATTTGCTCTTCATACAAAGTGCAGGGATAATGCCACTTGAGTTTGTGTTACAGCTCCCAAATTGGGATCACCATCCACGGGTACCTGATGCCCATCCAGGCATCCCAAATTACATCATACCCAGGAGACCTGGTCTCCTTGAAAGAATAAAAACTTCCAGGGTGGAGAGCACAAGAAACATCTTAAAACCATAACGTGCCAGAACTAAAAGCCACAGGGCAGTTCCATTCATGCTGGGAACACTTTCCAGTCTGAGGTTGTTCCTCTGTGTAGATGTGCATCACATGGCCACTTCAGCTCAGATCAGCCTAATTCATTGATATCTACACCTGATTCAGATTTTAAGGACAGATTAGAGCACTGACTGCTGTACAGAAGCATGCACATAAAAAAAGAATCATAGAATATCCTGAACTGTAAGCGACCCACAAGGATCACTGAAATCCAACTCCTGGACACGCAAAAATCACACCATGTGCCTCAGAGTGTTGTGTAAATATTTCTTGAATTCTGGAATGATACTTATGCTAAAGACAAAAAAAAGGTTCAGCAATACTTGTTATACTCAAACAACATGTGAGGATCTGGTGTGAAACAGAGCAAGGTGTACAAAGTCAGAAAAAGAATCTCAAGGAAAGTTAGGAATTGGACGACTTTCAGAAGGTTAAATGCAAATCCCTGCCTTACCTGTAGCTCAAAAGTGTTGCTTGTTATATATAAATACTGGCAAAAAGACCATCCTGTAAGAGGGATGATGGGGTAGAAAAACTTAGCAAATATCTGTTCTTGCTTATGTATGTTTTATTTATGTGATCGAAGGAATTTCCAGCTGGTTGCTTCTAAGAAGCATGAAGTCTTCCCATGTGTTTCCTACACACAACATTTAAGATAAAAATAACAAATAAATAAATAAATAAAACTATTTCAAACAGCCAGGAAATAAACAGCGCTCTGAATAATTTCAGCTGTTATTGAGTGATGTTATCTGCCCTGGTCTGCTGGCAAGGCTCAAGAAGCAGAAATAAAAAATGATTGCTGTGGTATCAGAGAGAGAAGCTTAAACAAATGTTGCCTGCACATGAAAAACTCCTCATTTGAATATTAACAAAGCTTTCAAAGGTTTAAAGAAAAGCACTTTTTAATGCCTTTTTTATTTATTTATCTTTTGCTTTTACAGCAGAGAAGGGATTTTAATCTGTTGATTTTATGGAAATTGATTTCACATAGCACTGTAAAACAAAACCCTTTTTTGGGAAACATGCCAAAATGTCCTCAGTATGCTGAGGGAAGTTTAAGCAGAAGGCTTACAAACTGCCGAGGTCCCCCTAATGCTTTCTGAAGTACCTTATGCTTGAAGATAATTTTTATTAGCAATACCAGGTCAATTTGTTACATCTTTTTTTTTGTATTTATTTCTTCTAATTATTTCTGCAAACATGTTTATCTGTATGAATCATGAACCTTGTTTACTTACATGTCCATTCAGACTATTTAATAGCATTGATTTAATATCAACATTTAGATCCTTATCCAGTATGTTAACCTTAGCTTTTAATTGGATTTCGGATAAAAAAGGTCAAAAGAGGTAATGGGTGCATGTCCAAGAGGATTAACATGCGTGCAGGACTATTAATATTATCGGTGAAATGTTTTATGGGTTTTTTTTTGAGCTGACCTTTTGATGACCTTATCCATGAGATCATGGATGGTGAGGCACCGTAACAGTTTGTCCTGAGAAACTGTGGACACTCCATCCCTGAAAGTGTTCAAGGTCAGGTTGGATGGGGCTCTGAGCAACCTGGTCCAGTGGAAGATGTCCCTGCCCATGGCAGGGGAGTTGGAACGAGATGATCTTTAAGGTCCTTTCCAACCCAAATCATTCCATGATTCTATGATTCAATGTCTTTATCCTTCAGAGGAGTCTCCCAGTTATTACAGCAGCCGTCTATGGACACATAGTACAGTAAACTGCATTGAAAACTGCATTTTTTCCCTTTCTTATAGCCTGCAAGATATCAACAATCAAAATTTAAGAACTTTCTGAGTCAGAGGTTGTACTCAATTATTTCCAACAGTCATGGTTACCTTCTATGAATTTGTGTCCATGCCTTTTTGATTTATACTCTTGGCCTCTGTAACTTACATTCATTTTGGAACGAACTGCACTTGTGGTAAGTTCTGAACTTTCTGATTCTTTTGAACTCCCTGTTGGGGAATTGGTTGTGGCACCTCTTGGTTCTTGTATAGCACAAAATATTAAATAATCATTCCCTGTTTATTTTACCTTTGGACAATTCTCTCACGTATAAATGAGATGGCAGTTCCTTAGCATAACAAATGGATTGGCCTTGATAAATGTTAATTCAGATGTGTTACTGAAGCAAATCAGAAAAAATACTTCAGGGCAGTTTAAAATAACATTGTTCTCTTTGAGATTAAACTTCTCTGAAAAAGAAATAACCTTTTTGAATTTTTAATTTTGTTTTGGTTTGGTTTTGGTAAACAAAACTTTTTTTTTCCATGAATTTTAGGTTTTAGCAGAATGGGAGGAAAATTAGAAGATTGGGATCTGAATCTTCCTTGGGAAAAAAAAATATCTTGCTCTATTTGAAAGGATCAAACTGTAAAAAATTAAAAACCCCAAACAAACAAAACCTCACACAATCATCACATTTCTAATTACAAGAAATGACAATCTTGGGACTATATCAGGAGAGGAAGTTCAGGAAATTAACTTTTATCCCATTTAGGCCAGATCCTTGGAGAAACCACTTATTTTTCCCTCAGTCCCTTATGCATAAAATATTATTTCTTTAAAAAATTAAAAATATAAGTCAGTCCCATAGAAATAGCAGACCTCAGAATTAAACCCTCACAGCCCCCACTGCCAGCTGTTTGTATTTCACCAGGAGCTCCCTTCTAACTCCCACACATCAGGAAAATTGTAATGACAACACTGATTTCCCTCCATTTTTTAACTCAAAACTTTAATATAGCTTTTGGGAAATTACTACTGGCATGTGGCCATAGGGTACATGGGTGATCTGTTACTTATTTTTGAGAATAATATGTGGATGTTTGCAGATTGTGCTCCTTTAGGCATGTATTTCTCTTACTCAAGGAGTTTCACTAAGGTTGTAATCAGTGGCTGTAAAATATTCTGAGCTTTTTGGGTAAAACTGATAAGATTTATTAAAATAAAATTTTTAATGAAAACAGATATCTCTCCTTAGATCCCAAATGGAGGCAATCTGGTCTGAAATCTTTACAGATTTTGACTGCTGGAAAATATTGGTTCGTTTGTCCTGAACTTAACCTTAGTTGCTATAAAATTTGAAAACAGATAAAGCCATGTGGGGATATTTAATTTTCAGTGGGAGTTTTTGTTGTTGTTGGGTTTGGGTTTTTTTAAGTTTAACTCAGAAATTTCCAGTTTTTTCTTATGTGGTTTCTCAGCTGGTAACTCAGGAGACTGGCACGTCAAAGAGGAGGTTTATCTTTGCAGATGCATAACAAACTACCAAATAAAAGAAAATTCAAAGGAAAAATCATCCAGTTGTTATGAGGGGGTGCTTAGAGGAAAATAATATCAACCAGTATTCTTCTAATAAGCATACATAGAAGCAATAGCTCTTTACTGCATAAGTATTTAATTTTCTTTCTACAGATTAATTTATTTGTAAATAGAATGGAAAGGGAAAAAAAGTTATGAATTTTACTCCCCAGTATTACATTTCTGCAGTTTCAGATGCAAGCTCCCCATAAGTAGGTGCCAGCCACTCTTGCAACTGTAGAAAAAGTGACCTGCATAATCTGCACCCAGATTCAAGATGCACAGGGCAGTACAGTGTGTGTATTACCTATAGATAGATCAGTCATGCTTTTGAGGAACAGGATGCCTGGAAACAAAAGAACTTTGGTGAGATAAAATTGCTCAAGGATGGCCAGGGTTGGCCTGATTCCTCAGTGCAGTGGAGCAGAGCTGAAACCTTGGAATATTCTGTGACCTTGATTCTGTTTCTTCTTTCTGGAGCAGAACAAGCTAAAGACATTAAAACATTGAATATTTGTGTCTTGGTTTCTCCACCAACAAAATTTGTATTATATTATTTTCCCATCACAGATCCCACCAAGATTTCTTGTTTCTCATACAGTCATTTGATTGTGGGCAATTAAGGATTCAATGTTAATAAGTAAAATCTTGAAAGTCAACTTTGTTTTTCATGTAAATTTATGTATGAAAGTGGGGAAAGGAACAGAAAGCTGAGGAGAATCCAGAAAGCTGAGAAAATTAAACCCCTTTCTTGTGCAAGCAAGAGAAAACAGGTTTGCCAGCTGCCTATGGTGAAAGATATTGATTATATGTAGCAATTTCAAGACTTGTTTTTTTTTTCCTTGGTGTTTTTGGGGTGTTTGTTTGTTTTGGGTTTTTTTTTTGGGGGGGGGGAGGAAGTGGTATAGAGGTCTATGCAATAAGTGAACCATGTTTCTTGTTGTTTGCTTTTTAAATGAGTCCAATATAAGAAAGGCACTATGCTTGCAGCATGCCTGAGACTAAGTAGACCTTACACCACAGATCTGCACATTTCGCTTTCGGAAAAACAGAAATATTTCTTGAAGTCTGAGCTATGTTGGAGCAAAGCACCTTTCCTAACAGCTGAGACTGGGTTAATAAGTGCTGGTTGCACTTCCAAACTGGACCAGTTGTGAAGCCAGTGACAGGGAGCTGAGGGAGAAGTCAGTGCCTCGGGCCAGAAACCAAATCAGAAAACTGTAGTCCAAAACCCCTAAATCCTTCTCCTCCTCACCTTCCTCCTGCAGCTGTCTGCTCACATTTAGCCTCTGGAGCTTAGGTAAGAAAATAAAAAGGGTATTTAAGCATTTAATGAAGGTCAATGCATCAGCAGGGGAACAGCCTCAAGCTCGAACATTGTTCACTTTTTCTGTTTATCTTTTGACAGACTTGTTGGGCTCATCTTGTGTCATCCTGGGTAAAATGTGGTTGCCTTTAACTTTCCAAAGAGAACTATCACTTCCGTGATATTAGGAGAGCAGTGCCATCCAACTTCCTGCTCCAGATTCTCCTCTGTTTGTCCCACATCCCAAAAGTCTGAAATACAGCTCTGTGATCTGCAGCTGCCGAAAGCATTTGGTGCAGACATGGTTGCTGTCACTGAGAGAGGGCAAGGAGTTACCACAGTTCAGCTCCAGCCCTGCCCTGACAGTGTCCTGTTGGAAGGGTCTGGGTGTAGGGCAAGACACAGGTGAGGGGAGCAGTATTTTGGGCCAAGACAACAACTATCAAAACCACTGAGCCCTACACCCCAGTTCTCCCCTATTACTGCATTCCTACCTGGAAAGCAAAGTTTTGGGCTTGACTCCAAGTGGTCCAGCTTCCCCAGTCACTTCTGGAGTGCTTTCTAGAGGAGTCAGAGAACTCTAAAGGTCAGAGTTTTTAACCAAGTTCGGCTCAGTAAGGACAAGCAAAAGACACCCAGTCCCTTCCCTGCTGCTCAGAGTTCCCTCTGCAGAGGGATGCAGCTGCCCAAGGAACCAGGAGAGATGATCCAAGCACCAAAGCATCACACCACGCTCCTGGTCATCCCACATCTAGGCCAAAAATGACTGCTCTAGAGATAAGTGGGCCCATGAGAACCTCATGAGACTCAACAAGTCCAAGTGCAAGGTGCTACATCTGAGTTTGGGCAGTCCCAGATACAAGTACAGACTGAGACTCACTGAGAGGAGCCCTGTGGAGGAGGACTTGAGGGTTCTGGTGGATGAAAAACTTGACATGAGCCAACAGCATGTGTTTGCAGCCCAGAAAGCCAATTGCATCAAAGGCAATGTGGTCAGCAGGTCAAGGGCAATGATTCTGAGCCTCTGCTCTGCCCTTGTGGGACCTGGAGACCTGCATCCTGTTCTGGAGTCATCAGCACAGGAAACTGTGGGAAATTTTAGACCTCTTAAGAGTGGGTCCAGGAGAGACCACAAAGATCATCAGAAGGCTGGAGTTTTTCTCCTATAAAGACAGGTTGAGAGAGCTGAGGTTGTTCAGCCTTGAGAAGGAAAGGCTCCAGGGTGACCTTGTAGCAATAAACTAAAGCACTAAACTACCTAAAGGTAGTTTACAGAAAAGTATGAGAGGGACTTTTTAACAGGGTCATGCAGTGACAGGACAAGGGGGAATGGCTTTAAATTGACAGAGGAGAGGTTTATATTAGATTTTATGAAGAAATTCTTAAATGTGAGAATGATGAGGCCCTGGCACAGGTTGCCCAGGGAAGTTGTGGGTGTCCCATCCCTTGCACTGCTCAAGGACAGGTTGGATGGGGCTCTGAGCAACCTGGTCTAGTGGAAAGTGTCTCTACCCATGGTAGAATGTTGGAATGAGACGATCTTTAACATCTATTCCAACCCCGACCATTCTGTGATTCTAGAATTCTTTGATAACAAAGCTGGAGATAAACTGACTCCAAGTCTGTCTCACCACCTTCTTACCCAACCTCTCACCTTCTTAGTAAATCCACAGAGCCATTAGCAGCCGCCATGAATGCAGCATCTCACTAAAAAGCTGGGGGTTATACTCTTTAGAAAGGTTGAATCACAAAATTTCCATCCAGAAGCTTGCAAATGATCCCAGAAATATGAATTTTAATCGTTCTCAGGTTGGTAAAACGTTAGGTCTTCAGAGTCTCAAACCTAATGTAATATTTGTTAGCTCAGAATTATTAATCAGGACAAACAACAATATCAAAATATTCACTTGTCAAAAAGCAGAAGGCAAGAGAGGCATCCTGGAAAGGTTTCCCTAACTATTTGTGAGTGTACATTTCCCTGAAGGCAATGGCCTGAATTGGTCTGTTTGATTTCTACCTTTAAATACAGACAACATGAAAGAACTTTGGGGAAGAGTATCTAATTTGTCAACAGAGCTAACAAAGTATGAAGAGCTGAGTCCACAGGGCATATGTGAGCACACAGTTGTGCTTCAGGCAAAGTGGTTTTCCAGGAAAACTTCAAGGTAGCAGTGAATTTTAATTTTACATAATTATTTTCAGGGTGGGTCTAGAACTGTTGCAATTTTACATTTGAGTCTATAGATATGTTGCTATCTACTCTCTTATACAGATCTGAATCATGGGTCATCTACCACCACCACCTGCGTCTCCTAGAACGCTTCCATCAACGCTGCCTCTGTTCAATCCTAAACATCCACTGGTCAGATTATGTGACCAATACATCTGTTCTAGAACAAGCAGCAGTCACAAGTATTGAGGCCATGTTACTGAGAACACAGCTGCATTGGGCAGAGCACGTCTCCAGGATGAAGGACCACCGCCTCCCTAAGATCCTGCTTTATGGTGAACTTGCCACTGGCTGCCGCATGAGAGGAACCCCGAAGAGGAGATACAAGGACTCCCTGAAACAACATCTCAGCCTTGTCCATATTGATCACCATAACTGGTCTACTCTGGCCTCCAACCGGGAGGTCTGGAGACACACCATCTATAACGCTGCTGATGCTTTTGAGAAAGCACGCAGGATCACCCTTGAGGAGAAAAGGCAATGCAGAAAGAATCGTGCCTTGCAGAATATACCATCTAAGGAATCTTTCTGTTGTGCCTTCTGCAACCAGACATGCCTGTCTCGTATTGGCCTTTTTAGCCACCAACGCGCTTGCAACAAACGTGGGTAGAGCCCTTCTCAATTCTTCGTTCGTGAAGCCCAGCCATGATGCTACAGATATGTGCAGAAATAATATGTATATACACACAAAGTATGTACCATGATGGGACAGTTCAAGATAGCAAAAAAACCATTGTGAAGCACTGCATAGATATTTTTTTCCCAGATAATGTAACTATCTCCATCCTTGCAAGTGTTCAAGGCAAGGTTGGATGGGGCTTGGAGCAACCTGTTCTAGTGGAAGGTGTGCCCCTGTCAGGGAGGTTGGAACAAATTTATCTTTAAGGTCCCTTCCAACCCAAGTCATTCTGTGATTCTATGATCTGGAAATTATTTTTTCCTATAAATGACTTTACAATGGTCTTTTTTCTATATTCCTACTAAACTCCTATGATAAGTGAGAAACAGGAAAGCTCTGAGCTATGAGCAAATTAAACAAGTCTTAGTTGGCTGGTTTTGTTTTAGAGTGCAATTTATTTTATGCTAGTGTCTTCATCCTGATTTATACTGAGAAAATCCATGATATAAAAACCCTTCAGGTTTGGAATATTTATCAAGAAAAAGATAAATCCTTAGTATCACACTTTAAAATGATTTTATGGGCTTAAGCAAATGAGAGTGTATATTGTGTTGTCAAAAATCTTCATTCCACTGCATTAAGTAAATACATTGTATACTTCACAAAGGTCCACAAAACAGTATTTTAAAAGCTATAATAATCTGACTATGGAACAATTACTCATCATGTGATTTATGCCTAATAACAGTAACAAGCCTGTGCAGCCCCATTCATTAGAGGATAAAACAGCACTCAAAACAGTCATTAAGCCTGGTAACTATTGTTCTTTCATCCTTTTCTATAGTAGAACAGTAAGTAAATTATCTGAGCAAAATTATCTGGTTAGTAGTCTGTTACAATTTAATTTCATCATTAAAAAAGTCGACACATAGCAGAACAGAGATACAGTTGTTACCTGTATCACATCAGCAGAAGACAGATATATCAGTCTGATCTCTGATATGAGACACATCACTACCACAGCTCATAGAATCTTCAAATGGCTTGAGTTGAAAGGGATCTTAAAGATTATTTAGTTTCAGCCTCCTGGCCATGGGCAGAGATACCTTCCACCAGACCAGATTGCTCAAAGCCCCATCCAATCTGGCCTTGAACGCTTTCAGGGGTGGGGCAGACTGACTTCTCAACCTCAGGCTCAACCTCTTACATTCTCAGTTCATTCTGTGACACTGTGTACAAGCAATGCCTTCACACAAATGGAGAACTGAAGCAAAGATGTATCAAGTCAAAGCATGAAAACCAAGGAAAACACTCTACAGGTTCATCTTTCCTCTCTGACACTGTGTTCTCTGCACAGTATTTGCCAAGCTTTAGAGTTTCATGGCCGTTTGGTAAACGACAAGATCTTGCTGGAGTTAAGGGAAGCTGAACAATGCTGAACACTGCATTTTGCTTCAAGACCTCTCAACACTCTGTCTCATGCACTGAAAAGTTTGAGCACTAAGTAAATTGCCAGAAAGACCTTTGCTTCCCTTCGCCTGCTCTAATATGAGAGGATATTGACCTCCAGCCCTGTTTTACTTGAAGGAGTTCTAAGTTATTTTCGAGTCATTGTGAATCAGATAACATAAATCACACCTAGACCCCATGGCAGCTGGTATTATACTGCTGCACAGTAAAACCAGATGATTCTGCAAAGGAATAACCCAGTGAAGCCTTATCCAGCATTGACTCCTCTGTGCCTCCTCCTAACCATGTTATGAATTATGCTCATACACAGAGGCCATGGATGAGATTAGAGTCCAGTTGTCCTGAATGCTTTACAAAACATCACAGGGGGGGAAATGTAAATGTTCTTAGTTGCTTTTAGACTAAAGAGAAAAAACTGCCAAGGAAAGCACAATTTTAACTTTCTCATTACAAATAGGGAATAGAGAGATCAAGACTAGTCAAAATTTTTAACCTCTTTCCCATAATTTTACCACTTTTTCATCAGACCTCTGGTGCTTTACCAAGGGAAGAGGCCGGTGTCAGAGTTTGGTTGTAAATCCCAATCTCCATTAGCCCAGGACCAAAAAACTTTAAATTAAATTATCCTCTATCCTTCTCCCATCCAGTAAGCAAATTGTATGAGAGAACTCAGCAGAGAAATCTCCTCTGCTTTTCCACAGACATTTCTGTGCCCTTTACCTGATCAGAGGCTGGTGTAGTGCCACCAGGGACGCATGGACTGTGATAGAGATCACTGACAGGTGGAAATAGTCAAACATGACAGGGACATGGTGGTGCAGACCTCGCTGGGGGTGGAAGTGGAGACACAGTGTTCGGCTGCTGATCACGGGGATCGCTGGAACATCCCTCAGCCTGCAAGGGAAAGAGGTTTAACAAGGGTTAGTGAAGGCCTGAGTTGTCACAGCCTATAACGTGCTACAGGCAGCAGACTGAGAGATGACTCGAGGTGTGAAATTTATCACTTCTCAGCTTCTTAAGGGGTAAGATAACTGAAGAGTGTCTGGTGTTGTACTTGTGCCAAGCATAAATATGAATATTAATATAGATATTTGAACATTAATATAACTATAACTAATATAAATAGAAACACAAAGAATAAATAACATATGTAGAGTTATATGAATGTACTGTATAAAAAAAAGAATAAGTGCAATGCAATTCCGGTTTTCCCCGCTGGTTACCCTTGATGTCCGTGTACCCACTAGTTCTGGAGATGTCAAGAACTAAGCAACAGAAGGAAGTGCATTTAGTAAACTGTTCAGATTATTTGGGTGCTCATAGATGGGACAGCTTACTATTTATGATTTTCTGTACAAGAACAATCAGCCCAGGCAACCAGTGAGAGTTAAAAGCATTCCTGTGCCAGACACAGCTGAAAATATTCAGAGTGCCTTTCCAGATTGTTATTCTGAAAAACTTTTTGGAAGAGGTTGAAAACCAAAAGACTAGGTGAAGTAATTGCAGAGAAACAGTACACGTTGGATTAGCTTTCCTTTTTTTTTTTTTTTTAAGTAAATGGAAGTCAAGACTTTAATTTAAATTTTGTTATAAGTATTCCAGAATAACTGTCCTGGTGTGCAGGCAACCACATGACATCTCAGTCACCTATAGTGAGAGACTGAGCTGTAAATCTGGAGTGTGCCTCACCACATCCTTCCAGTTAAAGTGAAATTTCTAAAGAGGAATTATTTTACAGCATTAAAGACCCTTCTGAAGCCAATTGTTTCCCAGAACTATGAAAACCTAGGATGAGATGGTTGTGTATGGTATATGGTTAGTCCCAAGCTTCCAGAAGCTTTGCAGAATATTTTTTTTTCTAAAAATCACTACTTTTGTTTATAGTAAATCAGAATAATCTTTAATATTATAACAGAAATTAAATGCATGTGTTGGAACACAATTTCATAACTTTGAGTTATTTTTATTCCTGGCTATCATTTAATGTTTGTTTTTTTCTCTCTTCAAGACCCACCAGTACTGAAGGTCCAGTCTCACCTGCATGAGAGAAAAAATTTTCACTTTTTGTATCTTGAAGATAACAGAAATTTGTTTAAGTTCTATGTGGGTATGAATAAAATCCCATCGGGACAGTCTCAGCATGAAACACACCTCAGATGATTTCCCTACACTACCAGTCCCTGCAAACCCTGCTCAAGTCATTGGCAGACTTTTCCCTGATTCAGTGAGGCTGAATAATATATGGGGTCACACTTCCTGCTGTGTCTCAGGAAGGGATGTTACTCCCACTTCACCTAAGATTATGGGATCAAATACAGTTAGATAAAATCAAATTCAATGGGAAGACTCCTTCCTCTTGAAAATATTGAGGCA